GACGAGCGGCAGCCTTGTTGGCCTCGTCGAAGGCCGTCACGCCTCCAGCCTTGGGGGTGGTAGCTTCCACGTATTCAGTCATTTTCGCTTGACTTGTTGCTAACTTGGCCAATTGAAAAGTGAGCTTTTAGGAGTTGCTGGCAGTGCCAGTTTGGCTTAGTGGGGCATCACAACGTTGTAAATTGTGTATCGGCGTGCCAAGTTGAACTTGGTAGGGATCCTGTACGCACTCTTACCTCTTGAGGTGTGGTCACTGAATTTCAGGCGTTGCTGCCCCGTGTCTTGCTTGCTTATGCTCCTGTTTCTGATCCACAAGGGAATATAGAACCGCGCACTTCAGAAACAATCAGATGTTGAGCAAGTCGCACATCCGCTGCGATGGGAGGTCTCACATAAGTTAGACTTGGTAAAAGTAAGTGGGGCTGCTTGGTGAAAGAACACACGTGGTACATGCACTATCTCGGCTTGCCGAGATCAAGTAGAGTTCGGACCCCTGGGTGCACAGCGACGAGCCCATCGGGTGACTTTGTGTTAACGAAATACTGTAAATACCGGTACACTGAGTGAATATCGTGCGCGTGTCGTTGGATTCCAATTTGGAAGGTCGCTCCTACATGTATCTGATGCGTGATGGAGTTGCCTCTTTTACTTGGCACTTGATTTCTGGAGATGCCGCCCAAGCTCTCCATGTCCAGACCCTCCTGTGTGTTATTTTAATGTATTTTTAGAAAACTACACGTACATGTGGAATGAATGCCGCCAATCGAAAGAAACTTGGCCCAACGTACGATAAAGTGCATGTGTTTGGCAGTAGCGTCACCATTAATCGTTTGTTTGATATTCTTCGTACTAGGATGTCTGCTCGTGCGTAGGATTTACATATCGTAGGTCGTTTAGTTTAGGCTATAAGACACAGAACCTATTTTAGTTTATTATTTTACTTTTTCTCTTATAAAATACCGGTGTCTAAAAAGCAAAAAAAGGAATACGAAAGGTTCGATTTTTTGTTTTGCCAGTTGACTCATCGCATCTGTGTCAAAATCAGACACAATGAGAGCGAGCGCGTTCATTGTAAATCAGTGATTCTCGATGTACAACTTGGTTCGGATCGGTCGTGCACTACAGGTACTAGCCGCTTGCTCTGGCACCGGCGCAGATTTGCTTTATATGTGCGTGGTGTAAGTATAGTACTACACAATTGACGAAGCCCGATTATCGAGTCATAAAATACCGAGCAAGTTGAACTAACTGTATTAGGGCCAAGCTGGGTCGCATCGTGCGGACGATAACGGCGGACTCGATCCGCTAACACGGCGTTAACTGGCCGCTCAATCTATGCCGTGCCACGGGACGACTACACGTACCTTCCGTTCGTGGATCTTCTACATTCTTGTGTTGAAGCTGGCTCCAGAGACGTCATGCTGCAGCCGAGGTCATCAAGGCTAGCACGACTTGCGTAACAAAGGTAAAATGCAGAGCTGCAGCGAGGGGGTTAAGAGGTGTTGTGTCTTATTATTTTTATGTATCATTCTAATAGATTATTTGGGGATAACATGTTTTAGGAAAGGCTAGCGGTTACTCGTTCTTCTCTATTTCTTCGAAAAAATGAACAAAGTATCTAAGCCATTACTTTGCTTTCAATGGTCACATATTATACAATTTATCATTCTCAATCGCACCAGCTATACCAATAATATGTTTCTACTGAACTTGGGTTGGTGTGAAAATATAAATTAGTACTACATGGATAATATTCCTATTATGATTATGTTGTTTTTCATGGCTGTTCAAAAGAGTTGCTCGGTGAGGTGCCGTGATGTCCTAGCTCTGTTGGTATAGATTTGTTTGAAATCGTACGTATTTTTATGCTTGATTGATTATAAGTTCAGATGGATCTGTGGCAATGCATGGCGTTTGAGTGGTTTCTACTTTCTTCGCTCCACTTGCTTGATCGTGCCTAGCGACAAACAAGTTGCATCACCCGATTACGTGTATTCATGCACATTTTCCAAACTGCTATCTACTTGATCTAAACTAGATGAAGCCACATATGGCATTTGTGACGGGCTCAACAAACGGC